AAACTTCAATGGACGATAATATATATCCTCCTTCTATATAATTACGGAATGCGCTTAGCCTAATTGGCAGCTTCCCATGCTTCGTAATCTTATGTGGAAAAATATTACGCTTTTAATATGACTCGGATGATAATTATTACTTTGTATACTAAATACCTTAGGTTTAGATTGCCATAAATACACATATTTAATATCTTACTTTCCAACTTTTTTGTTTTGTCCATATTATTCTTGTGTTTTAAATAAAAATTTTATAAATAAACTAATGATTTAATAAATTAGTTTTCAAAATCTAAAATAATATTGTTAATTCACTTAGTTCTTTATTATAAATTGTTATATATTTTTCCTTATTCATTTTTCTAACTTCAATAAAATATATTAACATTTTTTCTTTCATTTTCTATTTATATTTAATATTTTATAAAATAATCGTATAGCACATGGGTATCATACTAGTGTACATATATATATATATATATTATCTGCAAGAATATTATGGAATGAATGCATACTTTAATATCTCAAGTTTCTAGTTCCGAAGTCAATTCAATTGGGAAATATAACGATTCTCCAATTTAAACAACTACCATGCTTTGACATAATTCAATCTACCGATCGCTCTTACTCTTGCTATGCCATCTTTATAAAAGTTAAATTTCGGAAGAAGAAATCAGAGGCTTGTATTTTCATGATGCTACTCAAAATCCTCAATGAATAATCACTATTTACCAATTTTCTAGAACGATAGGTGGTTTCTAGGAGTCAAGCTGAGGCCTAGTCCCCGGTGCGCCTAGGTGGGGAGTAGGAGGGTCCTAAAAAGATATTGATAAAACTCGAAATATTTCATATCATATAATAAAATTTATTATATGAAATACTAATGCAACAACATCAATATAGTCAAATTCAATGATTGCTTAAAATATAATATATTCATATTACCAAGATTACAAGATAGATTTAATTATTTTAAATTTTACAATTAATGCACATTCCATATATACAAATCATTAATCATTTAAAAATCGGGGAAAATAAAAAAGATCATCTTCAGTGTCTTCTAGCCAGCTTAGGTGCCGTCTAAACAACCAATTTGTAATACATGCAAACCAGTGTTGCAATAGCAATATAACAGATGATAAGGATCATAAGAAAGCAGTGAAGCCTACTACAGCCAAGTGATACTATCAATGCAAGGAAATACATGTTTGTTTGTTCTCAACAAGTTTCCTCATGCTCCTACATTCCTAAGACAAAATCATTAATTCAAAAATAGTGGTCAATTACAACAAATACGCCAGACAAAAGGAAAAGAAAGTTTTAAGATAAACTCACGGGGTCATAAATGGAAAGTCCATTTTCTGTGGAATATCTTATGTAGCGCATCAAATCTGATTCATTGTAGAACGTCTGCCCACATATATTTGTATAATACTGCATAAGGCAAAATAATAATAATAATAATAATAATAATAATAATAATAATAATAATAATAATAATAATAAAAACACAAGTTTAAATATCTGTTCCACACCATGGACATGCATATCTTTAAGCTCTAATGCTAGATTTTGCATTAGTTCCTAATGTATTTAGGATCATAAACAATACTTCAAGTTCAGCCCCTATCGTGGAAACTATTTCTTGAAAAAAGTAAACTGGCAATTATTGTATTACTTTGTCTCACCGAGTTATTACTTCTTTTTAAGGAAACTTCACAGCAACTACTGATGTAATTTACTTTTGTAAGAAAATCTTCATACTACTATATTATGCAGTTTTTAACATCAGCAAATGACAAAAAAAAGCATCACAAATTGATCTTGCACACAAAGGGTGACAAGCCTATATTTATGTCATTGTTACCAAGTAAATTTGAAGTCAAATACTTGACGATGGAGTGAACGCGAAAGAATTTTCATATGATAAAGGTACACAATGTATGTAATGTAATGTTGTCAATGGTTTGGATTGCAGAAAACGGCAGCAGGCTAAAATCCCACCATAGTGGCCCCATGGCGGCATATGTCACCGCCATAACCGCCATCCTTCACAAATCCACCATGGCAGAAATGCAATAACACTAATGTAACGACGATAAAGGAAATGGAACTAGTGAGCTAAGATATGGGAAATGGAACTAGTAAGCTAAGATATGCCAATACAAATAATGAATCCTACAAAAGAACAGCCTTTTAACTAGATCGTTATAAATGATGATGCAAAGTGTGTCATGTGTAAGAAATTTAATCAGCGAACTGTTAAATTAAAATCCATCCGACACGTGGCAATTTGTAAGGCAACACAAAAAAAAATTGTAATAAGTAAAAAGATATGCGATCATCCAGAGTTAAAAAGTAAAAAAGGAAACTATGCATTTCTTCCACTAAAAATAATATGAAAAAGATGAAGAACAACAAAGAAGGGAAAGAGAGCAAATCCACATAACATAAATAGATTTGATTTTTTATCAACCCCTGACAGATCTAACAGGTACTACAAAGAAGAAGAACTACAAAGAAGGGAAAGAAAGCCAATCCACTTAACATAAACAGATTTGATTTTTCATCAATCCATGACAAATCTAACAGGTACTACCATTTGTTGGTAAAATATACAAACAATCTGCTTAATTATAATGTCATTAGCCTTTACTAAGTTTCGTCCAAGCTTTAAGCAGATCAAGTTTTTTTTAGGGCAAAAGTTGAAAAGAAATTCTCTACCATCAAAGACATGAACAAGAATCACATTTTTGTTGGCAATTAAAAGTTCAATTGAGATGACAAATGGAAATCTTCACTCANAAAAAAACAAACAAACAAATAAACAAACAAATAATAGATTAAAAAATATCAATTACATCTGTTTCCCTCACTGAAACATCAGATGAAACAGATGCACATAAACACAAACAAGAACACAGACCTTAACGATTTTACCCTTTTTGTTAGTCTTACTAACAAAGATCCAACCTTCCGGAACATCGAATTTGGCCTGATTCTGATTATCACTGCCAGAAGTTGGAGATGCCATAGTCGTCGATTTGTGAGGAAAACTGAAGGTTCAGTCTTGCTCCGCGAACAGGGTTTGTAACAAGGGTTCGTGGCCCCAAAAATCAAAATCAAATTTTGTAGCACCTCCATTAGCGACGGAGTCATTATCTCCACTGGATTGCTGCAATGTGTCAGCCAAAATCTGATTTTCCACTTTGAAAGGACAAATTACAGCGAGGAGGATTTCATGGGAACTTTATTGAGCAATTAAATGAGCCGAAAAAAAAAACAAGTTTGCCCCACAACCAAACCAGACCCTTCGGTTGCCGGCAGGTGGTGAATTGGGGATGAGGACAAAAGATCCTCGACTCACAGTGTGAGAATCGCTCTTCTTTTTTCCTTTTTCCCTTCTTTTGAAATGTGTTTGGTAGTGTTGTGTGGCGGGAGCATTATTGCGGAGTTATTCGATAGCTCGAGTCGAAAGACTCGAAACCGTAGATGGGGTTCACATTTGTCTTTTAATTTTGGTAGACCATTTACAGTCCTTATATCTAAAGTAAAATTTACTAGTATATTTTAGAGAATTAACCAACAGTCGGTCCACGATACATTTTACTCTACATGAATATTTATAATTCTTATTATTTAAAATTAATTTTAATACAAAAACTATAATTTAGTGAAATATATTATCTTAAACATATTTAGTTATTTAATATGATTGAAAAAAATACAATTAAATACAACATTATTTATACCGATATTATCCAAATCTTTCCTACAATATGAAGAGTTATGAAGAGTTATATATATATATATATATATATATATGTAAAAATATTATTTTATATAGTACTAGTATTAACAAGAAATAAATTTAAAATAAAATTATAATTAAATTATCAATTTTAATAATATTTAGATAATCACATCATGTAAAAGCATTATATATAAACAAAAAATAATGTGAATTACTAATGGAACTCTACACTAAAATTCAATGACTGATATTAAAAAAGAAAAAAAATACTGAAACAATTCAGTGCATAGTATTGGATCACATTTGACATAGTACTGTAGATATATTTATGTGGCGCATAATATAGCGAAGCGCTCATTGGTATAAACTAGTACAGAGCCCGTGCGATGCACGGGGTGCATAATTATAAGGCTATTTATTCAGACTTATAATTATATGCATGAATACAGAAAAATGTACGGGATATATATATAATACGTGACCCGTACGAGACACGAGATATATTTATTTGAGGAATACTATATTATAAGATGCAATATTCAATAAAAGTTTTATAATACGCAGGAAAATTGTACAATAAGATAGTATTCAACAAACAAACAATCATATATTATTAAAGACTTCCTTGTACACAACATTATGAGTTTGATTTTCCATACAATAATAATAATAATTTTTATCAAAAAATAAGAAGGAATTTTCAATCTACACAAACTTTAAACATTAGATGTATTTACTTAAATCAATGGCTATATAGACAACTAAACCCTTCAATTTAGGCTTGACATCTACTTTATTTATGGGTGACGTAAAATAAGGATTTAATTTTGACCGATTAAATCTTTATTCATAGGCTTGACATATAAAACTGATTTGATGGAATTTTCTTAACTAAACCGATGTTATGGGATAAAACAAATCTATACTTACCTTTGACTTTTCCAGCAAAGGTAAAAAAATCGGTTTTGATTTTTATCTCATAACAAATCTTTAATGTCAAGCCTATAAATACCAAAACAAATCTGTAATTAATATCATTCTATTTCCAGCAATCATTAATTACTTTTGACTTTTCTGCCTACTATTTCTAGTAAATAGGATAACTTTTTATATAAGTATAGATTTCATATAATGCAAAGACTGAGATCATAAAAAAGAATCCTAAAAACTGAAACTTATATTGCATAATTTAAGGCCATTAAGAAATCGATCTCTAAATCAGATTTGATTTTCAGAATATGTTTTTTTTATTTCGAATTCCATACAAAAGAGAATTCTTTCCAACCAATAGATGTCATAGCAAATATTAACTCTTAACTATTAGACTATTAGTACATACCGAGCAAATTGTGTACTGATTTTAGAAAGTTAAAATGATTCATGTTAGGTAATTTTACATTTTATGCATGTTGAACGGTGGGTTTTAAATATTGTTTCATAGAATGTAAAAGTGTATTATATTATTTTTATGAGATGTTGAATTTGAAAATGAATAGAATTCTTCTTCATATGAATTTTAAATATAACAATATTCTTTGGTATACACTACTAATAAAATCTATATTTAAAGCTTATATTTTTTTTACCGGAAAAAATTCCTTAATTTAAGGAATCATATATCTTCAATCAGTCCACATCTATATACATTCTTCACAATTTTAAATCTTGAATTTGATGAGAGTTCGTATCTATGAGTGCAAAATATAGTTTAACAAATTAATTTTTTTATTATTATTCCAGCCATACTTCATTATACGATTTTTTGTGAAAATACAAAAGTAAATTCTTAATTTTAAATCAGCCGTACATTAAAGAGTACAAATTTGTTGAAATTACAAAAGTAGTTTTTTACTTTTAAACAGACGTAAATTTAAATCAGTCATAAAAAAGTAATATTTGTTTAATATTTAAGGGCAACATTTAATGCTGCTCTATTTTTAGGAGACATTAAATATATTTGGCGGGAAAAACTTGCTAAAAGTGTTAAATAATTAATCTTTTAATATAATGATAGATTAGGGGAAATTTTATGTGTACCACAAGAATTTTAATTAATTGCTGATTTACGAAGGGACTAAAATTATTTGCAAGCATACATTTTCAATAGCATTTATTTGACTACATGCTAAATATCTGTTACCATATTTAATTAAGAAACAATCATTCCTACAATCACGTTAAACTCAAAAAGAAAAGGTAAGTCTATATTACTTAATAATTAGGATTTTGTTCTTATCATGCTCGGCGAGAAAGACGTGGAATTGAAATTCAAAGGTCCTATTCTTCCAATATACAGAAAAGAACGATCAAATATATACAGAACATATAATATATACAGAAAATATACAAAAGATCAACAAAAAACATATAAGTCTGTACATATATATGAAATAAACTTGGTAATTTTATCTTTTCGTAATCCTTTTATTTTTACCTTTTGCATTATTTACATCTCGTATTTTTTCTGTATATTTATAGTATATTTTCTGGTTTAATACATACAAAATACACGATCTGACTTATATACAGAAAATTTACTCATTATATACAGACAACATAAATAAAATAGACAACAGATATATAGAAGATAAATTAATCTTGACATTATATACATAATATGTACATAAAACACATTAGACTATTCGACCTATCGAAAAAAAAAATAGAAAAAAAATAAATTGTAGGGGAAGAGAAAGAATTATATAGAAGAAGAAGAAGAGAAAAAAAAAAGAAGAAGAAGAAGAGAGAGAGAGAGATTGTGTGAGAGTGAAAATAAATCTCATTAAGATTGGAAGGTGATAAGTCACCTTTAATGATAGTGACTTAATATTGGTATTTTAAATTAATCAGTTTTTTTTATATTTGGTAACTTTGCAATTATAAAGGTGAGATCTTGTATATTTGCTAATATTTGTAATGGGGTTTCATTTATGTAATTAAAGCTTATATGTATTGTACGGTGTGTAATTTTCTCTAATTAAAAGGGAAATTTACACGCATCCTACGTGATTTTCCGATACTTGCAAACCTACAATTAAGGATAAAATATTTACAACCCTACGAAATCAGTGTATTTATTTGTCTTAATGCGAGATTATGTGTTACCATAATAAACGGATTCAGTTCCATTTTTTTATGTAACTCCTATTCATAAAAAAAATAAAAAATAAAATCCAACAATTTTCAAAACTTAATAGCTTTTTTGTTTGTTATCATTTTTTTATATATAATATATCAAATTAATCATCTTTTGACGAGGTTTAATTTGACATCTATATTTTATATACAAAAATAAAAATAATTTTATTTTTTATTATAAATTATCTATTAATACTAATTAAAAATTAATAAAATTATTTACATTGTGGTTGCATATCCGATAAGAAAATAAAAAACAGAAACCTCTATATATATACTTATATGTTATATAAATTGTTGTAGATTATAAACCAAGTATAAACCAAATTATTACATGTTATATACAAAAAAACGCAATATATACTAAAAATATACTAACTATAACCACAACATATACGAAAAAATATTTCGGTGTCCGTCTTGTACAAGAAAACACAATATATATACTAAAATTTACTAACTATAACCACAATAGACAATTGTGATGAACATGGGAAACCTAGACCTTGCATTAACATGTTTTATAAACTAAACATATATATGATTCTGTCTATAAAAACATATACTAAAAATATACTGCCTATATACACAACATATACTGTCGATAGTCTAGATCTTATGAATATACTGCCTATATACTGTTTATATACACAACATATACTGTCAAAACTTTCCTTCCGAATCATCTACTTCGGTTTCATCTTCAACGTGAAAAGTGAACACAAAAAATTGATTCTTTGTCATCTCATATCAATTTTCTCGTCAACACACAAAATCATAATCCTGATCCCCGTTTTTTTCTACCAAAATGGAGACCTTCTCCTTAAGTCGTCTCTTAATATATTTTTATCGAGTATCATCAGGTTTAGACTGAAAGTCAGCGGCGACGTCAGGGCCGTTCAATCACGCACTTTAGTGCTTGACTTTTAGATCCATTAGACTTCGTCTTCTTTCCAAATTGAAGATTTTTTTTACAAGCTTTCGGTTACCTTTCGTTGAAACTTTTGAAGACGAGAATTCGATCTATTTGTGGAACATCTCCACCACCACGAAGAGGTGTGTTACTAACGTTGGGCAGAAGATATTTTTTTTCCATTTATTTGATGCTAGGTTTTTTCGTGGAGAAAAAAGAATAATTATATGTCTTTTGTTGAGTATCTTAAAAAAAGATTTAATTAATTGGATGTGATTTTAGACTCCCATACTATTCCTATAATTGGGCGACTGACCAAAAAAAACTCAACCAACCCAAGAAAAAGAAGGAAACTTTGAAACAGTCAGCCTTTCGTTGAAATACAAAAACTATTCTCAATTGTGGTACATTTACAAATAAAAATTGTGTGCCGTATATGTGTAATAAAAAGTGTTGAGGCTCGTTGCAGGAGTAAATTTCTCTATAAATTTTGCATAACTCCATCATAATCTGGACATGCTCTTACTACTTTTTTTTGCAATTTATCAGTTATCTTGGCTTATCTGTAGCATAGTTTTTTGCAATAATTATCTTAGCCTGTTTGTCGCACTTTTTTTGCAATTTATCAGTTATCTTCGCTCGTCTATCACATAGCTTTTTGCAATAACTATCTTAGCCTGTTTGTCGCATAGTTCATAGTTATTTGGCACTTTATCGATTATTTTTGTCTGTTTGTCGCGTAATGTTTTGAATCAATTATCTTCGCTTGTCTTTTGCATATTTTATTGCATAATTGTTTCACATTTATCAATTATGTTCACCTGTTTGTCGTATAACTATTTCGCACTTTATCAATTATCATCGCCTGTTTTTCGCATAGTATATTGCATAATTGTTTCGCACTTTATCAGTTATCTTCGTCTGTCTGTTACACACTCGATCGCATAACTGTTCGCACTTTATCAATTATTGGTTTGCACTTTATCAGTTATCGTCGTCTGTCTGTTACACACTCGATTGCATAACTGTTCGCACTTTATCAATTATCTTCGATGTGTCGCATATTTTATCCCATAATTATTTCGCACTTTATCAATTATGTTCGCATGTTTGTCGCTTAGTGATCGCATAACTTTTCACACCTTACCAATTATCTTCGTCGCTAATTCACATAACATATCGCATAATTGTTTCACACATTTAGAAAAATTATTTCCACATGTCCGTCATATAGTTTATCGTATAATTTATACCGTACTTTATGGGGTGAAAAAATTAGTTTATTATTTGGCATGTTAAACTTATTCCATCTTCAGAGCGGGTGAAAATAGTTATTTCCTCCTATGTTTATATCCACTCACACCATTGTATTTCGCCTAACCCACGCGCACAACATAGAAGAAACTAGTTGTGATTCATCGCTCTCTTCCCATTGTATATCGCACAATTATTTCACACATTTCTACCACTTTTTTGATGATACTCAAATAATATAAAAAGCAAACCAGGTTTACTACTAAAATCACTGAGGCCCTTTACAAGAATCTGTACAGTATCAAAAAAGATCACCTTAGTATTTTCAGACTTCAATTAGCATTTACACAAGAACTTTGCTAAACCACTTAGTGGGACATGAACACAGCACATCAAACAACCTACAATTTCAAGAACAAAAAAAAATATCTTCAACTGTTGTGCACATATCATCTCTTCTTACAGTTCCTTGGGAGTAGGGTCCGTTGGCGCTTGAAGGTCAATTGACCTTCTTCGTCTGAGGATTCACTACTTGTATCATCAACATCACCTGTATATAACCATACCACTAAAATATCAGACAACAAGCGTATTATTATATGCGCTTTTGATGGAAATTCCTTTCTGTTATCAAAAGGATTAACAGGGAAAAAAAATGAAAACAAGCATGATTTTCTTTTTAAGGTGATACAGCTAATGATGAAAGACCTTTACAAAATGCAGAAGAACTATAAACGCATAAGAGGTCTCAAAATTTTTGTGAATTCGAAAATATAATCAGCCATTTTCATAATCAAGCTAAACCTAACAGGTGGTTATAGCAATTACACCCAATCAATGTTAGAATTTCTAGTCCTGCTTTCCTTAAAACATTAGTAAAAGCAATTTCATGAAATAACGATGTATGAGCTATTATAGTACTAAACAAGCTCATTACATTACCTTGTATCCCACTAGTTGCATTTTCAGGTCTTTCTCTGGAATCAGTCGAGTCATTAGTGTTTTGACCATGACGCTTAGTCGATATTGTGATCAATCCACTCACGTCCTCTTCTGGCATGTCACACCTTCCATTGAATGGCTTCATATAACAGAACCTAAACCGAACGAACAAGAAATTGAAAAAAGAACACTTTTCACCTAGCAAATTAGTTTATATATACTTTAATCACGAACATTCCAAAATCAAGGTCAACATTTGATGTGGAAGTGAACTGAAAAGTCTCATGTGTACGCTTCAACAACTTAACAACTCATTGATACTAACACATGTAAGGATTTAAATTGAAATATACATTCCAAGTTGAGTGTCTAGAGCAAAAAGATAATCTAACCACTCCAAAGGTAGCTTCTTGATGTCAAAGTCACCACCCAACACACGCCACTTTCTGCATTTATCACACTGTACCCAGTCATGATCGGGTTTGCATAGAGAATTAGTCTTCCTCTGCACAAGGGGAAACCCAAAGTCAAACGAGGAGAATTCTATATAAACATGATGCACTATTTTTGGGCTCAAACTATTATATGACATGGTTATTAGGCAATGTATGTACATAAAAATATACAGTGCATGTTCTTCGTGGTCAAGACTCAGAGAAAAGCACATGCTCCAAAGTCCACATATGCAGAAAAATAAAATATTCCAGGGAGGCTCGAATCACAACTCTTCTACCCTTTAGCTACTTTGACTAAGTTCAATGATTATAAAGAAAGAAAAATAGATTTTTACCACTTCAATCTTGTCAACATATTTGTCCAGATACTCATCTACTTTTTCACCAAGCCACTTCTCCAGCTCAGCATAGGCTTCGCAGTCCTGAAACCCTTGCTTATTACTGTGCACCCACACATGACCATTGCTATCATCCTATTATAAGAATATATAAATGATCAGCAAAAGATAAAAGCTGAGTAAAAATGTTTACGAAGTAGTATTGCATTTTTTCAGCATTGCTAAGAGTTCAAAAATCATAAGATTATTTCAGAAATTCACCATCAAAGCAGTAACATCAATGACTCCTATAATTCCCCTTCCACAATCTCCATTGTGTATCATGGATCCAACTCTCTTATATGCCTACAATAGAGCAATAAAGAGAAAGTAAACAGAGACTAACATCAGCAACTTCAAGATAGAAACATATAAATGCAGGACAGGAACATTTATATGTATAATGTCACCTTAACAAGTTCAACTATGAGTATTTTTGGTTTATCAACACAGGAAAATGAAGATGGGAGGGAAAAAAAAAAAGAAAAAGAAGATCAAAATCGTTCAAGGTGATTTTGTGTAATAGAAACAACAACACATAACGCATAAATATCAGCAATGTACCACAGAATTTATACTTCTTCTCACCATATTGGAGAGTAGTTAAAAGTTCTTCCAGAATGAGCTTATGCCCGAAAGTAAAATTCCAATGAAACGTATTCCATATGCTATTTGATATACAAGGAAGCACATAAGTTAAAGGCTGCAGGGTATAAAAATTAAAACCCCAACATTTTCTCCCTGGTGAATATTTTCACAATTATTCCATGCAAAATAAAAAAAATGCTGTAAAGCCAGCTCATTTAGTAGTAATAGTTCTGATCTATTATTATGAGCTTATACAAAGAAAAATTAAGTTTTAGCAGATGAAATGCATTTAAAATTGCATAAATAAAACAAAAGAAAAAGTAAAGCTCCTGTATTTTTTTAAAACCCTCCAGATTACATTTGTATGTTCGAAATCTTGACAACTATAAGACTTCTACACAGGGTCGGATGAAGAAATAAAAAACTAAAAGAAACCTTATCATAACCTTTTGCGCAATCAAGAATATAAAAAATAGAAACTTAATCTTACCTCAATCAAACGTCCATGCCAATAAAGGAATATGCCACAATTTGCTTGCTCCCATTCCAACTGAGAACGTCCAATAGTAAGTTTAAGTTGTTTTCCCAAGACAATACCAGTCTGCACGACAGTCTGATTCAAGGATTTAGCAAGTGGCCGACTTTTAACCTATTCAAAAAAGTTGATTGGAGATATTAATGAACGAATCACACGATACAAGCAAATAGTTTGCTGAACCAAAGCTTAATTTCACATATCCCTTCACAAGACACTCCAGCACAAACACTATATATTACCACTTACCAGTGCTCCTTGAACATAAATTTTCATCCGTGGATCCAAGAAGATAACCTCCAAATATGATTTGAGAGAAAAGTCCAGAGGCACCTGCATGTCAAAGTAAAAGAAATTCAATTTGTGCATGAACTACTCATATGAAGTGCTAGGCAAATGAGGATACTTGCCGTCTTAGTCATTTGTCCTGGACGAGATCTTATCCTTCTTGAACGTATGAATATGCCTCCCTGATGGAAGGAACTCCCACCAGTTAAGCCAGTTTCCCATTGCAAACTATAAGTTGATCCCCATTCATCTAAATTCCATATATATATTTGTGTTCCGGTGACATTATCTCCAAATAAGCCCACCTTTTCACCTATAAGGTACTTGTCAAATGGAGAAAATTTCTTAATAACCTTCAAGTTGTATTTTGCAGAATCCTCATTCTGGACATTTTTATCCACCTCCATAAACTGCCCAATCCTGCGGTAGCTCACAATGGGGATCTCCAAATTCTACATTATAGCAGATTGCAGAAGATCAAGCAATTTCATTTGAAAGATAACATTTCTAGATTAGAGCTCCACACTAGCATATTGTGGGGATTGGTGACATACCTCTTTACCCTGATTCAATGACTGTGATAAAAAGGCTATTGATCTGGAGTTAGCTGTCTGTGTTAAAACCAAAGCGTCCTTTCCTAGTCGCATAGCCCCAGTCTGAAAGAACAATGTCAAATGTCAAAACACTTCTCCGTGGTCCTGTTAGGGATACCCTCTTCGATAAGACCAAGGTTATACAAATAAATATTTATGAGTTGTCATATTTGTGTGCACGAATATGCACGCAAACATAAATTCATCTGCACAGCAAATATTACCAGAAATTGTTTGAGTCCTCAGCGATGGAAAGAAATGATGATCTTCATAAAGTGGAGAGCAATTTGTTAGCATGGATAACAACCCAAAGCTATATGCAGCGGTTTCAGAACACAATAAGCCATTAAACAGGTGAATATTACCCCCTTCTGACAACATAGTAGAAGAGTAGAACAAATATAGATTTTTGAATAAACGTAAGTAAATAAAGAACATAAATTTTGCAAATTCCTTAAATCACAAAATTACATGTGATTGTCAATAATAGCAGTTCAGTAACATTTTCAAGCAGGAAAATAAATTGTCAATAATAGCAGTTCAGTAACATTTTCAAGCAGGAAAATAAAATTACACATTTATTTTCTAAATGACCATCTTTGGATATCTAGATTGACAAGTCCAATTTGAAATGTCGTGTAACATCCTACCAAATACTTCTGCCTTTGTCTTTGAGGCATAAAACTTACATAAAACTATATACAGAACTACAAAAGGCACAACTAGAAAACAACATATATAGTAGTAGCACAAGGATCATTAACATTTTACTGAAAATTTATGTGTATATCAAGTGAAGTGAAGCAAAGTACCTTAAACCCAACACCATATCTTCCTATACGTTGGGGATCATCAGCTTCAGGTTGTGCATGACCAAATGAAATCATTCTTCGGACATCGTCATGGCTCATTCCATGACCATCATCTATTAGCGACAACATGGGTATATCTTTACCAACATTCTTAGCGTACACCGTACCAATAGCCACTTCCAATCTGCCAAACACATGATCATATGTTATTCCTATTGACAGAACAGTTGAAACATGCAATACCTCCNCATAATATATGTACTAGTTTTACAACAGTAAGGATAAAAACAATAAAAGTCAGGGATTATACCGAGAACTGAACAGGTATGCTATAATGAAATGGAGACACTAATTTTATCTAGAAAAGAAAGAACATCTACACCTACTTAGTTGCTTTGGCATCTCTTGAATTGTCAACCAGCTCAGCAATTGCACCAAATATCCAGCCGGAATGTGCCTGACCAAGGGTCCTCAAATAACTGGGATGTGCTACCACATAATTTTCCAATGATCTACTGGATCCAGCAGAATTTCCTACTCTATCCCCACCCTTAGATTTCAAGTCACGATAATATCCTCCATTAACTTCTAGATGTCGTTGATGAGGGGAAATTTTATCCTCAATCAGGTCAGAGTCCGACAAAACACCCTCACCAGCCAGCAATTCAGGTGGAGATGTATCAGAATCAGCAACATCTGCTTCATCGAAATAGAAGAATATCAGTGAATAGAATAAAATTGAAATCATTTTCATTCCCATTAGTTGTAGTTGTATTGCATATTATCTCTTAAATAAATATATGAATAAATTATAGCTGCCTGCCTCAAGCAATTTGAGTCAAGTTTTTCTTTCAAAGAGGAGCCAAGACTTGAGCCCCACATAAATCCATTCAAAAACGTAGCTACTGCCATAGTCAATTCTACGATCAAAACACGAAAAGGGATATAAGGATTATTATTCTTTGTGTTGACAATATGATTTGAAATTACAGAAACTATACAGATGATTTCACATTCCTCGAGATGCTTAAAACTATAAAGAAAACAAAAAAAAAAAGGTAAACTCAAAGCAAGAATGTACATTTACAATGTGTGCAATTTTGTATCATTCCTGATGTAGAGAGGAAGGAAAAAATCAAAAAGGCATGCTCCAAAGACATTCACAGAGAAAAATACCATATTTTCATTTAATAAATATGTTCCGACAAATTATGCTCATGGAACAACTACGTTGCCGGAAGAGATTGAACATACAAAGAACAATTACTTTTAAAGCCACTTAAACTCTACTTAATGTAACATTATTCATATGGTAAGAAGACACCAGATATTAATTCGTATAACTATTAACTAAGGGTGAGAAAGGCAAGAGAGAAATGGCAAAGATTACCCAAGGCATGACATTTTTTACTCAGGCTCGTGATTGGGATTTGTCCTTTGTATAAAACAGTTGCAATGCGAGACTTTGGATCATCACCAGTGGTAAGAATGAAGATTTCACACGATCCCAGCTTTGATATACCAACCTTCAAGTAGTAACGATTAACTAAACATCAGATAACATCATTTTTTTACTTCACATGATTATAACTCTCCAAAGCACAATGACCGCAATAGAAGTAGATTCCGTATTCCATCCAATAACAAAGGGAAGTATACATAAGCATGAGACATATCCATCAAAAGAAAAATAAGAACAAACAAACAGTTGGTGAATCCTTTTATGTTTTGATATCTTAAGATCCGGTGAACAAAAAGTCACATTTGCTTTAGCAAATAACTTTGAGATGATAGTAACTATGCTACAGATCTTCTCCAACTGTCCATCCCAACACCCATTAAGAATACAGTTCCCTTTCTGCTTTCCCTAGGGACAAGGTAAGAATCAGTAAAACAAATTCTGATACACTATGATTTATGATCTTACCCTATCATGCTTCCGCAGGTAATCCAAGAAGAGTCCCCACTCCTTTTCCTGATAATGATCTTCACAAGCCGGGTATAGAGAAAAACCAGGTAACATGGATAAACAATCTATCTTTTCTTTGCGGACAAAGGTAGGGACATCCCAAACTGCAGGCCTGCCAAGCATTTTCAGTAAAAACTTGGTAAAATTAATATATGAAAGCTACCGTGAGATCTCAAAAGGAGAACCAGCCTGAATGTGAGTATGGAACAGCAAAAGAAATGAAAGTCAACGACAGGGCGGAGGTTAATAAATTGTTACGGATACTATCAATCCATCCAGTCTTACCAAACTCATTTGAACAGGAGTACACAAACATGAAAACAGCCTAATGTAGAGAACGGTCTGCAATTATGTGCATTAGTGTCTATTAAAATATCAATGAGTCCTATTGTATAAAAAAAATTATTCCTCTGTTCTGATCCACACTGGTAATGAACTGTACTTCAGATATTTAGATAAAGTAATGATGAAGCAAGCTGTGTCCATTGCAAATGGAGCTGGAAGAGTCATTGTTGACAATTCTCCTGGCATAGTGCTAATAATGGACTAGATCAGAATGGCTCAATTAAATTCTAGTGCTTCTTCTATTAGTGAAGTTTCTAGAAAAAAAAAAAGAAAATATATATCAAACGGCGCAATGCACCTTGGGTCGCTACGAAAACAGCCTCCTTGTATAATTACAAGGGTAAGGTCTGCGTACAACTGACCACCCAGACCCCAACCTGTTGGGAATATACTGGGTATGTTGTTGTTGTTGTTGTTGTAATGATGAAGCAAGCTTTGTCGCAAGCAGTGTAGATAAATATCCACAATGCAAACATTTGACCAGTTAGTCCACTATAATTACTCAAGTTACTGTAGAGTTCTAAAATTGTAGTCACCTCCACTGTATTAGCTGGGCTGCTGGAGATATCTTACTATCTCCAAAGAGAACTTTAACACAGCTAAAACAAAATTAAACAATAAATAGGAACATAACACTGGAAAATCTTTTAGACACGACACAGAAGGTATTATATCCCTTACAGTCTTCAGAATCAACTAAGGACACGAAAATATACTTGTATTTTTCTTAGTTCATTACTTAAATAGAATAGTTACAAAGAGATGTACAGCTATCCAATTGAAGAATGAGCCAAAAATAAAAATCAATCAAACAAGAAAAATCTCCATACCGATAAATGGAAAAGGAAGTAAAATATTTATCTAAATGCTATATTTCAACCAAGTTCTCAGAAGATATTCACCAAACCACACAAAGTTGTATTAAAGTTAATCTTGAATGTTAAGATCCACTCTATAACTACTTAACCCGAGAACAACAGGGTTTATCCAGTATAATAATACAGAAGAGTAAGCACACAAGACAGTACTCCAATGGTACTTTGAGACACGTACATTCTAAAAATGGTAAGCATGCTGAAGAACAGCTGCATTTGCTGAATACGTAGAAAATTAAAGCATAAAAACGGAAACAAGCAGAGATAAAACACCTGATATTACAATTTTCCTTTTTTATAAAAAATCTCCAACATATTATTAGAGCTTAAAGACACATCAGTAAATTAAGCTAGTAAGTAACATACATTTGACTGGGTGCACTAACACATGCTACCCGACTTATAATCTTCTTATCCTTAGTCAGTTTCACAAGAGATTGAGAAAACCCTGCAAAACTTGACAAAAAACTGTCAAAAGATAAACATACCAATAAATGATAGAAAAGAAGGCTAATAAAGTAATATTACTTTGCATGGAGAAAAAAACAAAATAATGGACCGTAACAGGACATAGTGCAATAGAACATCCCTCAAAGACCATAAAAGGTTACCAATTCTTAACATCGCAAGAAACTTATCACATATACCTCACTCTGTCTGTGTGCTCATGAAGGCACAGAGTGTTTTACACTTATTTTATGTTTTCACTCATTTTTTAAGCAAGATTAAGTCTAGTTAATCCACTTGTTGACCATGTAACACCATATTCTATGAATAGTTCAGTGAAAGAAATAATTACATAAATAAAGATCAAGCAAATGAGTCAAATGGCTTCATTCACCTTCTTTTAAGAGCTCCTTCCTTGACTCACAATCTTCCATTGTTAATCCTGCATTAAGAAAACATTAAGAAAAAGACAACACACAATTGAAATAACTACAAATTTCTTAAAGTAAAAGGGTTGACAAATTTGTCAAATGCTTATTTAAGTAAAACAAAAGTCATTAAAAATAAAGATAAAATACTCATCAACTCAATTGATCCACTAGTCTCGTAAACACGCATCAGTTATAGAAGGTGCTTAGGTGCACCACATGCTCTACAAGAAAATATCTGTTAGCGCACAGCAACTTCTGACAAACAGGAATTCCAATAAACTTGTCAGCCAGAAGTTGAATCATTTTAGCCAAAACATGTGCCACCTAAACTACCACCACAAGATGATGTAAATATCCCATACTCTAAACATGCTACATGAGTTGATTTTCCGGGATACATAAAATTGCGATTATCAAACTTTCTTCAATAACCCTGAATCATAGATCAGTCTTAAACTTGCCCACTAAAAACTTTGGCACATATAGATCTCAAATTAACTTGATTCAAATTTGAAATTCAAGCTGAACATTTTTCTGACAGCCCACTAGATATAGTACCAATTCACTTTTCAACATTACTATTCAAAGATTCTTTTCTGTTTTAATAACTTTAATTTACTCCACCACTTAAAAGAAACACAGAAATGCATCAAGTGTGATCCATGGTCATCATACAAATTAATTGACAAAAAAAATCCCAACATATTATAGTTTTCTAATTGACTACAAGTTGCAGCCTGAAACGTTAAAAAACAACCAAAATTCATGGGTACGGGATATCAACAAAAAAATGGCGGAAATAATGATTTTGAAACATAAAAATTAAAATAAAAAACTTATAACATCATAAACGCACCAAAAATTTTGAAAAAACTCTACTTGGACAACAGCAGAAAGAAGAAATTCATCAAATAGACATAAAATGTGACAGCGTGCAAGCTATTCAACTTATATGTGAAAACAGGGAAATCTTCCACCCCAAATACTTCTTCCAAAACATGCAACTGAACGCCCAATGCTGCACTAAAACTGAAAAAAAGGGGGACTAAGACGACCCGGCAAAATAATCAAGAAAACAATAAATGCTGTTTACATTACAGTTAAAATGATGCAACCAATGTTGGTAAAGATCACTGTGTCACGCAAACGTACAGGCATAAAACCAAGCAACTGACAAAGGAAAAAGAATATATATCTATATATGCACAAGAATAATTCGAAGTTGATATGTATGAGTTTGTTGATACCTGCACAAAATTCTGGATTTTGAACGATAAGCCGCGAGTGAGAGGGTTTGTGTGTCTGTCTGTGTGTGTGTGAGAGAGAGAGAGAGAGAGGGGGGGGCAGATGAAGAGGCGGGCTCGTCGCCCGCTACGGTTCGACTCACTACAGTTGCAGAAGATTAGCCTATCAATTGCCGATGGCCAACTATAATACGACATTGCCCCTGCAATCATATCAATTTATAAAAATATTCAGTTACCGACTCAGTTACATTATTATGCTACTATTATTATATTAATTTGCCCATGTTTATGAAAAGAAAAAAATCTATTGAAAAACGAATTAGATAAAAAAATTGTACATCTGTCTATATATAAAGTAAAAAATAATGTAAGATATGTTAACTACTTGTTTATTGCATTTTATTCGTTTTTTGTTATATATTAAAATAATTTGTGAGTTAAAATCAAATTTAAATTAAAATTATTATAACTTTTGACTTTATACAGAGCAATCCAATTTAGAATTATAAGAAAAATAGACATTAATCTATCATAAACAACAATATAACCAGCTATATATTATATAACCTTTGGAGCAAGTTGTCCATTACATACTAGTATAATTTTTGAGTTGAATGTTAAACTACATGATATGTGATAAAACCTTTTGGATTGGTACTTCATTTAATTGCAAAATGATTGAATGCCCGCCAAAATGATTCAATTTTTTTGAACTTTCGTTGATGAAGACGTGGAGTGTGCTTGCGCTATAGCCAACCACAAGACTACAATAGAGATTAAGAGCGTGTTTTTATATAAAAATATATGTTTAAAATGAGGTTTTTTTAGTTAACCATTATTAATTTTGAAAAAAAATGGTACGGTTAGTTGTTAGTGGAATTTCGATTTTATATTAAAATAATATTTAAAATAAAATAATTAAAGTTGATTTCATGTAAAAGTATAAGAGAGATTATATGAAGTGTAATTAGTCAAAATTATGTAAGTGGATGAATAGTAAATTAAAGTTGATGTGATGTATAAGAATGATTGGTTGATATTATTTAATTATATTGATAATAACGAGGATAGTAGAGTTGAGTTAAAGTTGAGTTAGATTTTGAATATGAATGGAGTAGTGAATGAGATATTTCATGTTCAAACACAACCTAAATGCACTGTAGAAAGTCCCATCTCTTCTTTCGAGCACCATGACACGGTCCATTTTGATATGCATATCACATATAATTGAAATAAGAAATTGTCTCTTCAATAAAAAAAATTGATTTAATATTAATTTTACGATTCTTTTTTTTGTTAAGTGAGAGACTTAAAATAAAATCTCATAATCATTTTAGGTTGAATAACAAATTCATTCTAAAACTGAAATGTGAGGGAATTTGAGTTTATATAACTCAAAATTGAGTTTAGGTAAATCAAATATTGTTGGAGCGTTTGGTCTTGACAAATGTTTGGACAAGCCAACGAAATGTAATCATGCACTAGGCATGAACTGTAGAATGGTGTTGGGTTCATCATCCGTATGGGTGATATGCAATGAAATAAGCAAATAAAATGAGCAACATTCATCGAATAAATACTAATTCTATCGGCTTATGTAGCGATTGCAACGAGCGACATTTTACATTAATACAGATTTTGATTTGTGGAGAATTTAAAAAATTTACTTTAATTTCTTATAAATAAGCGACGACTGAGAGGGAATCGGGTTTTTTGGTATGTGATAACTAACTTCATTTGTTTCGTCGTAGGAATCTACGTCCTTTCTCTAAACAAGTTCACTTTATGGATTATAACTCCAGGAATAAATTTTTTGCTTGTAGAATTTAGCCCAAGAATTAAAATGGTAAAGAAATAAAATGAAGAGAGATTTTTTTTTTTTTTTTTTTGGTTTTGACGTCTCATGTCCAAGAGCGGAACTTAATTTCAAATCAAGTTGGTTATTCCTTCTGAAAAATCACACTAGGAGTGTGTTTGGTAAGCATCATAAGCTAGTTTATAGCTTATTTTATTAACTTATAAAGCTTTTTGTATACAAATAAGATTGATTTGGTAGGATGAGCTTTTTTAAAATGTTCGAACTTCCATCATAAGCTTTTTTGGGTAGCTTTTCAAATAGGAAAAATTACACTTTGCCTACCTAACTATCCGTTTTTTTACACTTTGCCCACTAAACTTTTTTTTTTTCTTTTTTTTTTTTCACTTAACCGGTATGAACTTTGCATTTTTGTGCACTTGCCCACTTCCGGCCATCGGAGTTCCTTAAGAAGGGTATAGTAGTCTTTTTACAGGAAAAAGAACGGGCAAAATCGTCATCACATACAAAAATTTCGTTTTTAAATCTGAATCCCTAATTTCCCTTTTCATTCCCAAATTGTTTGCAGTAAGAGAGAGCGAGAGAGACTCACCATTCACCAAATGTCGAGCATGGCCTCCGAGGTGACCGGCAATGGCGACTTCTGCACTTGTCGGAAAAGGGCCGTAATGAAGACCTCGTGGACAGACCATAATCCGGGAAGAAGATATGCCGCCTGCGAAGAACCTCGGGTAATTTTAGGCTTTTTGTTAGAAATTCTTTTCCTAATTTGCATTGTGTGGTTCTATTCTAATTATTCGGACCATTAGAAGTTGCAATTACTTCTGTTGATTAATTTTGTTAATTTGCAACCCTGAATTTTTCTTCTAATTTTTTAATCTGTAACCCTAATTTTTCTCCTTAAACCAGCCTTAATTGAACTAATCTGCAGCCCTAATTGAACTTTGCATTGTCTAACTGATTGATAATCAGATCATGATACCCTAATTTGCAACCCTAAAATTTTCTTCTAATTTGAAACCCTAAATTTTTTCCCTAATTTCTGGTCATTGTCTTTCAATTGGTAACCCTAATTGTTCTCCTTAATTAATCTGCAACCCTAATTAATGATTTGATTGATTTTGTTTAATTGATTGATAATAATTCAGAGCAATGGAGGATGCAATTATTTCTCTTGGATTGACCCTCCAATGTGCCCGAGATCTCGACAAATAATTCCAGGGCTTCTGAAACGTGTTAATAGGCTTGAAGATGAGTTGGCTACAAAGAAGTCTAGGGAGAAATGGCTTTGGGGAATGATTGTTCTTTCTGTGGTGATCATGTTCTTTGTAAAATGGTGATACCATATGGTTGTTTATGTATGTTTCAGTTTCTTTCTTGGTTGTTGTTATTAGCTAAGTCCCATTTTCAATTTGTTGGTTGAAACTTAGCCATTTGTTATGTTTTGTTAAGACATTTAGTCCATGTCTCTATTATCTGTAACATTAGTCATTTGTGCTGCATGAATGAATGAAAAAAAAAAAATCTTTTGGTTTATGTTTATGTGTGTGGGGAAATGGACTGGACATAACCAATCCATTAGAACAACAAATGAATACAAACATGTTGCAAATGTATTCAATAAAAAAGAGTAACAAAGGTATCCACCTGTACAGATCAATATTTGTTCCCAATTAACAAACATGTTGCACCTGTACAATCTATTAGAACAACCAAATGAATATTTGTTCCCAATTTAAAGAAATTAACCAAATTGACAAAAACATATTGAAATGAATATCAATGTCATTTCCCATTCCAAAGAAAGGGCATGTTCAAATCAAAATATCTTACAAGGTGACATACCAACACCAAAAAAGCATATCACCTTAATTGTCAATACCAACACCAAAAGACAACCTTAGAATTTTCCATAATAGACATACCAACACCAAATATCAACCTATTCAAATCTAAATCAGTTCAAATTAAAATGACCAACTCAAACTGTCAATACATCACATTTCAAACTCTGCAGATCAACCAAAGTCCAAACAGCTATTCCAGACATAGCAAAAAACAAAGCCTCAGTCCTGAGAGTATGCAACCCTTTTTCTTGTGGAAAATCTCACACCATCAAGCATGCTGCTGCTTTCTGGTGGCCTTACAGGTTATGTAAGAGCTTGTGGCTTTTCACCAACAAGACCTTGAAGCCTCAAACTCCTCTTCACTGGCAGCTTAGTTTTCACACCCTCATTTTCAACAATGATTGTTTCTTTTCTTTTTCCCTACACAATAACAACATTGAATTATGAATTAAACATTGATACATGTTTGTTTAGGGCAGTTATTGACAGTAAATTAAATATTATACCTTTCCTGGATCTTGTGATGATTTTCCAACTTCATTGTCTTTCTCATGCACAAAACCAAAAACAAGAAAAGTAATAAAAAGCCGCAGTTGGTTTTAGGGTAATTGTTGAAAGAAAATGTCATACCTTTGTTGGCACTCCAGCTTTGAAGCCTTTCTCCTGCACAAAACCAAAAACCAAAAATAATGAAAGTCACATATGTAAAAGCTACTTCAGTTTAACTAACCAAAAACCAAAAAAGAATTGAAAGAAAATTTATACCTTTTGTGGCCTTTTCTCTGAGACTCCTTCAACTATCTGGGCTTTCTCCTACACATTAAAAATTCAAAATTTATATTGTCATTTACTGATAAAGGCTAATAACAGTAAAGTGTAAATTTTTCTTAATTTTACCTTTAGTCTAGGACTCTTTCTTATCCTCTGAAAATCATTCTCTTCAACAATGGATTTGCTAGGACTCTTTCTCATTCTCTGCAAGTAAAAACATAAGATTAGAAAAGATACTACATGGCTAAATAAGTGACAACATTAATTTTCATTTATATACCTTCTTTGCTATTGGTTCTTTTTGAATTGGAGCAGGCACATCAGTCCTTGTATTTTTGTGGCAACCCCTTGAATTGTGGTTTGGTTGTTTGCAAATTGAACATCTCATTGTCACACCTTTCTTGCTTAGTCTCACCTGATTAGGTGTTGCATCTTGCACTTGTTCAGTAACATGTTTTCCATTGTCCTCATCTTTTCCCATCTTCCTCTGATACTTCTTGGGTCTTCCTGGCATTTTTTTCAATACTAGGTGGTAGCAATGGTGGAACATCCACTTCAGGCCATTCATCTTGTCCATTTAGTGCTCCCATCAAATGATTGTAGACCCTTAAGTATGTCTCTTTTTTGTAACAGTCATCAACCAAATCCTCAGGATTTTAGCCTAAATAAAAGATGTCTGATATTGCATGGGGGCATGAAATTCCTGATAATTGCCACTTCCTACAAGTGCAAGATTTCTCACCAAGATCAACCTTAAACCTACTCCCAGTCATGGCCTCTATTTCAAATTGATCCTTACCATTCCAGTGTGCAATGAACTCCATACTAGTTTTCTTCATTTCATCAAGCAACTTCACTATCCTAGGACAAAGGTCCCCATGATATTTGGTCATCTTGTCTCTTTTCATATGGATATTCTTCACTAAGTAAGTCCTAATCATTTCTAACATACTTACAATGGACTCACCTCTTGCCTTCACAATCACAGCATTGAATGTTTCTGAGAGATTGTTCAAAAGTGCATCACACTTTGAATGTGTGCTAAAATGAGACCTAGACCAATGTGCAGGAGGCCTAGCATTCAACCATTGGTATGCAGGTTCATCTCTTTCTTTGATCTCAGTTATCACCCTCTGAAAATCCTGCACTCTAGATGCCCTAGCAGCTTTCCAAAACAACTTTTTCAATGCAAACCCTTTATGTTGGGCTTTGAAATTCTGGTACAAGTGTTGAACACAAAATCTGTGTTCAGTACCAGGCAATAGGGTTTCAACAGCTTCAATCAAACCCTTTTTCTTGTCAGACATGAATGTCCAATGGTAAGTGTTGTAGCAAAATATAATTTTACCGAGTACCGAATCGAAAGATTCGTTCCCCGGGTTGATCTCTCGAGGAAGGCGGTTCGGAATATAGGAATGGTGTTGATAACACATTAAAGAAAAATAAATCCTAAACACTCTAATTAAGATAGTGATTTTTAATTATCAACTATGAAAGAAAATTCAAACAATGCAAAATCGAACTTAAAAATAAAGATGAAGATCAAAGGATAAGAAGCTAAGGAATCGGGGATGATGATTTTCTAACCAATGCAAATATCAAGCTAAGATCATTTGGTTAAATGATTCGAACAACCTAACGTCTAGAGATAATCCTCAATAACTCTTCGTAACAAGAGGGTAACATAGACGGTAAATCGCGCAAATCACACAACACATAGACAATACGTTTCCGAACAAGTCTATTTCATGCGAGCCTAGATCGATCAACTCCTCCCCTTTCGGTTCTAAGAGTTGATTAATTATACTAGACGATTGTTAATCTACTAGTTCGTTGGATTTAAACACGTCACACAAGAATGAATCATATTCAATTGAAAATCAATTGCAAATCGAAGTGTCACTCTTCGACAATATTAAACATTCAATGTACGAGAATTATAAACCTAGTTAAGAACAACTCGCATAAATTGAGCGATCAACAAGCATGATAATCACAATTAAATTCTAAACATCATCATCATCCCCTATCCCTAGCGAAACGAATTAGCCACTCATATGGAATTCAAAATCAACAATCTCAACAATCAAAGCCATCATATTCATGGATTAGATGAAAAGAAAAACTTACGATTAATAGAAATCCAATATTCGAATCCAATGACAAAGCTAAATCTGAAGCAGAGAAAAGGGGTTTTTAATCTCCAAATCAAATCCAAAGTGCAAACCTATGAAAAGGAATGAGTTTCTAGAGTGAAAAAACGTAAAAATAGAGTCTGGAAGTTGAATTATGAACCCTAGGATCAAAATATGGTCTAAAAATCCCGTCCTCGAAATTCGCGCCGGTAAAGTCGCGAGTCGCGACATTGCCTTTTCTTCGGTCGCGAGTCGCGACATCCTCGTGAGTCGCGCGTCGTCAAGATGTTCAATTCCTGGGGTCTGGTCGCGACCTACGTCGCGAGTCGCGACTCGTGCTAGCGTACTGCACCTTCAGGCTCTGTTTCTCTCGAGTCGCGACTTTCATCTCGCGAGTCGCGACTTTGGTCTCACGAGTTGCGACTTTTCTCTCGCGAGTCGCGACTTTGGACTGCACTGCGCAATTTTACGTTTCGGGCTCGTTTAGGCTGGTCCGAACTCGTAATTGAGTTCCGTTTTTTGCTATGCGTCACCAACGAACTCCTCTATTAAAATATGCGCTCGAAACAAACTTTTGCTGAAGAGAAGATTCACCCGAAGCTCCCGACCTACACACCAAAAACGACAAAACACGAAGAAAATCGGGAAAACAAACGAAATAACTCCTAAAGACTCAAAATCAAGAAAAACATAATAAAACACGAAACGGACTAAAAACTAAAGAAACGATCTAAAACGGGAGAAAGAGAAAGATAAAATAAACACGAAAAACGCAACAAAAATGGGACAAACAACTCCCCCACACTTAAACCTTTGTTCGTTTCGAACAAAAAGAAAAGAAAAGAAAAGACACAAAACTAAAAACCAAGCATGGACAACAGTCATTAACAAGATAGCTTCAACATGTTCAACTTCAACAACAAGCATTCAAATGGCACATACGAACATTACACAACTACATGCTTGATCTCTATACTTCGACTTGGCGTTCTCTCAAGTATGGGAATATATATGTGTGCCTCGCTCGAATTCTTATACAGATAAAGATGGGTGCACTCAAATTGGTCGATAACAAGTTCAATCATATGCTTGCCCATTGTCTAACTTCTACTCTAAACCAATCAAAACTGCAACTAGTGAATCAAAAGGTCTTTCAGGGTTGTAACGTAGGCTCTTTAGACAGGTAGGATAAATATAGGCTAAGTGGCTCGAATATAACTCAAATTCCTGACCCAAGAATGCACGCTCAACCGGTTACTCAAACAAACCGGATCTCCCCCACACTTTGTTAGTGTTATATACTGGAAGCTTGGCTTTGCATGTTATTACACATTTACCCTTTATGAATGAGAATCATGTTAGATTAAACAAGTTCTACGTTCTGTTGTTCTGCACTTAGATAGGGTGGGTCGTCATCGGGCGAACCGAAGATCACTCTGTCAGTCACTTGCGAACAAGAATAGTTGTTCACAACCTAGATGGACATGAACACCCCATCCGAACGGTTGTAGTGTCAACTGTACAGTTTGTCTTGACTGATTAGTTGCACTAGTACATTTATGTATTGAACAGGATCCCAGAGAGGAGAAGTTCATTTTATACTGATCGTCGTAAATGAACTAGGCCTCGGTTAATTACTGCGTTCTCTTAACCCGTAAGATATTAAACAGGCAGATATATATAATATATATTACTTTGATTCACATGGGTGAGGTTCAGTTCGCTGGATTAATATTCCTACTGTTTTGGGTAATATTATTATATATAGGATGTGCTGTTAGGATATTTACGGTCACCATGTGCGTTAGTTTGATGATGTCCCCGGAGTGAGTTCATGAAGGATTGTTATGCTAAACCCTGCAGGTGGATTAAATTCCGGCATAATAAGAATGTGATGAACGAGCGCTAGCTTCGGTGAAATAATAATAAATTAATTAATTCTTGATTGTCAGTAATCGAATTAATTAATGGACATTATATCTTAAACGTGGGGAGGTAAATCGAGTAATTATTATTGGAGTCTCAAATGTAATTTGGGCTAGGGAAAGGGAGTGCAATAATATAATGTTGGTGGCCCATTAATATTATTTAATTAATTAGAGGAGTGGGTTTGGCCCACAGTTAGTCTAATTAATTAAGGAGCCCTTTTCCTAATCTCCTTAGGGTCCCTACTGTAGCTCTATATATACATCATTAAGCTCATGAGAAGAGAATAGAAGTCTCATTCTCACGTGAAACCATCTCTCTCTCTAGATCTCATTCGAGCTTTATCTTCTTCTTGTTGCTCCACTGGTACAAGTTGAAGAAGGGTGTATTGAGTAATACAGTAGAAGATCTGTAGGTAAACCGAGACGAAATTGATTTTGACCTACAGAACTAACCGGAAGTCCGATTGAGACGTACAGTATACCCAGACGACCGTCTCGACGAGAGCTTTCCATCGCCGCCGACGTCGCCGGAATCCGACGCCGCACGCGCCCTCACGCGCCGCCGGAAGGTGTCTGGCAGCAAAATTTCGTTTTGATCTGTTTGCATCCGTTTGATCCAGTTTTGATCTGATCTTGTTCGTGCAACCCAAGACGCGTGTTGCGGTCAATCAATTGCGGTCAACCGTTCGTGGTCAACCAGATCTACATAAATTTTAAGCCGTAAGTTCTCTACGTCAAACCTTTAGATCCGCTGCGCATAGGTTTACGTTTGCTATTGAATTCGTGATTTGTACATAACGAGATCCTCACAGATCCCAACAAGTGGTATCAGAGCACTTGGTTAATTCGTTTTGTACAAAGTTCGAATTTTTACGGCTTTATTTGACAAGATGTGTTCAAACGCAGCCATATATTGGATTATATTTGCATAACTCGGTTTTGCAGGAAAATAGTTAATCCACTATTATGGCCGATTATGTGTTTGATGAATGTTGTTGAATGTGATGTATGGTTTTAAATTTGTTTTTAAAGCCTCGGGCATGTCGAGGAATTTATGGATGAATGTTTGTAATAATTATTCGCCCGGGGGTTGACCGGATAGATTTAATTATTTGTTTAGAAAACATGTACATCCATTCGTTGGATCTAGGATCGAATTATGTAATTTTGTAAATTATATTTTTCGTGTTGTGATCGTGTGTTGATAACCGGGAGATCACAAGAGATCAACGAGCCTCGAAGAATTAAAAAAAAAAAAAAAAAACGGCGTTTTTCTGGCGAACTGGTGGCGGCGGCCGGCGAACCGGCGGTGGCTGGTGGCGGCGGCAGGTGGCGGCTGGTAGCTGGTGTTTTTGCCTTGTTGTCCAAGCAGTACAAGATCAACCAGGATTCTACTGCTTAAAGGAGTTCCAGTTGAACAGGGAAAAGAACTGTCACAGTTTCCTTGTTTA